CCAACGCGGAGCGACTCTCTCGACGAGGATCGAAAACAGATGTTGCGGCGGTGTAATTTCGGATTTTCGACGGCGGCCGCCTAAATAGGTGGTATATCTCGAGAAAAAGAACCTCCGAGCCTGATTCCCTAATTAGTCGTAGTAAAGGAGAACGCCTCCGAGACCTGCAGCGAGGAAGACGGAGAATCAATTGAATCTCGCCTCGACCTTAAGCTCATCCACGTAGCAGTCGCATTATAGTTATTTGTGACGATCAAAGAACGCCGACTGCGTTCTCCACGACGCCGGAAGACATTTCGGATTTACCGGAACGACGATTTCATGTCTCCACCTCTACCAGCGTAGATTAATTTTAATCTCGGTTAAATTTACCATCACCTTTCTTTATTAGTTTCGCGAATTAGAAAAAAATAAGAGTGAATTAAACTTGAGAATAAAATTAATCTACATTACGTCTATATCTATCAATGTAGATTAACTTTAATCTCGGTTTAATTTACCTTTTATCCTTCTCTAATTCTTAAAACTAAAAAAAAAAGAAAAAATAAAGAAACCGAGATTAAAATTACAAGCTATAGTAGTAAAATTTAATTAACATTAATAAAAATAAACACATTGGAGATAGCTCTGGTGAATTTCCATGCTACCTCTACCTCACTGGTAGATTAATTCTAACCTTGGTTTAGCTTACTCTTCCTCTCTCCTTAACGACTTAGAAAAGTAAATTACCTCCACTTAATCTACAGTTGGCAGAAATAGACATATTAGTCTTCGGAACGAAAAGCGAGAGGCTCGTGGCTCGTCGCCACCGCGACGAATAGTGAGGAAGAAGAGAGAAAGACGACGGGAGGGAAGGACTCACAGTGAAGAGCGTGCGAGGATCATCCTTTCCAAGGTCCAACGAGCGGATGCTGCCGAGATCCTTCCCCTTGCGCACGGGTCACCAGACACAACACCGGGCGGTGACGAAACCTCGCGGGGCGGGGCGAGGCGGGGCGGGACGGGTCGGGTCGGCGCGGCGCAACGCGTGCGTTCCGCACGCACGTGGCTCGTAGGCGCGACGGTGAGGTTTCCGACGGCTCGACGAGCTCGATCGGGAACACTTTCTCGGCGAGGAGACGCGACTTTTCCGCACGTCGAACGTACGTGCGTACGTGCGTACGTACGTGCACGCGTCGCCGCCGTCGTTGTCGTCGTCGTCGTCGTCGTCGTCGTCGTCGTCGCGTCTTCGCTCGCGCACGCGGGGACTTCTCTCCGATGACCGAGGACTAATAATAGCCGCGGCGTAGCCGCGAACGAATGAGCGAGCGAGCGTAACGAGGTGTATACGCTGCACCGCGCGAGAAAAGCAAGACTGAAATATCCGGACGGGAACGCGCGTCGCGACGCCTCTTCCCGTCTTTCTCTATATCTTCCTCTTCTCCCTCCCGAATCTCTAAAGGACCGCGCGAGACTACGAACCGCGCTTTTTTGCTTTCCGTTCTTTGGCGAGTTTCCCAGTTGAGTTACGATGATTTGTTTTGTCAACGTTAGATTTTTGACACGGACGACGAGGTTGTCGGTAGTGAAGATGCGAACTTTGTGTGTGTCCCTTATTCACCGGCGGTGTATATTTATTGCGAGTTTTATTGATGATGTTGTATAAACGCGCGTGCGAAATTGCCTTCGGGAAGAGAGAAACGTAGATATGAAGAAGAGATCGGCTTCAATGGATCGAGTGATGGACGTGTATCTTTGTCGAAATCTTCCGTATATCCTTTAATAACTTCTGCGTCGGCTTCGCTATTATGCAATTATATTTACATATTATCTAATATTATCGTAACATTATCATCCTGTGCGATACTGGAAGAAAGAGTTGAAGGAAATTAAGAATATAGACGTCTGGATTTTGTTAATAAAAATACAGAAATTTAATTACGCCGTATTAAACTCCGTTTGTAATATTTAATATATTTTATTATATATACGTACGCTTAAAAAAAGAATATTTGTCTCCTTCATTGTTTTCCATAATCATAAATAATAAAAATTTCAAAGAATAATAAATAATTATAAGAGAAAATTATTTTTTATTTTTTATGATTTATTTTTTGATTTATGATTTATAATATTAACATACAAATATTAATTTAAATATGTGTAATTATTTACATTTTGAATTGATATGAATTTTATAGTAATATTCCGAGGAATAAACACCGAGAAGGAATTATTATTATATTACTTATCTTTACAAATACATACGCATAATTTTTTTATTTTAAAAAGGAAATGCATTTTTAATTTTTTTCTTACATTTTCTTACATTTTTACATTTTACAGTCATTCAACAGAAATAACACACAAAATATCAAGAACCTCTTTCATTTTCTTCACAAAACAACAAATAGGATTAGGAAAGACATTAGCAAATTGATGAATCATAAGATATGCATTATAAAACTATCATAATATTTTCCTCATCCATAATAAAAATTTTTTCAATTATTACGCGGTGTAACAATTTTTTCATTTCCGCGTAGTTTCTAGCGTCATCGCGAACTTCGTTCGTCGCTGAATGGATTCGTTGTCTACACGCATCTGACGTCAAAGTCTCTATGTAATCAGGAGCAAAAGTATTACGAAATTACCTGGCAATAATGCGCTGATCACTATCGAGAGAAATGCATTAAGCTGGTCGTTAGAAAAGCACGCGAAGTTAAGAGTCTCCTCGCACAACGGCAAAAAAAAATTAACACGATTAATAGCCCGAAGGCCTCACCTTCGTCAGCGCTCCTGCATTATTCGCGCGAGTCGCCCGCACCATTCTCGCTGTATTTATTGTATCAAACACTCCAGGAAACGTGACGCGGTGACGCGTCAGGAATTATCTCTCCGCTTGCGTATTTTTGGTCCGCATGACACTCGACAACGGATCGGACAATCCCCGATCTTTCGCGAGCTTTCTTCCCTCGACCGCCTCGACTCCGAGACGAGATCTCAATTGTCCATCGGGAAGAAGAGGAGCTTTCGATCCAAGAGCTCCCTGAACGATTCCGCGCGCGAGTCCGTCGCGCTTGTTCCCAAAGACGATCGTTTGGCTGATCGTCTTTGCTTATTAAAAAGAAAAACGAAATAATAATATCAAGATAATATCCGGGAATGCCGTGGTTGCGGCAGAGATCGCGAAAAAAACTTTCTCGAGTCGCGCGCCACTCCCGCGCGATTCGATCCGCAGCGACGAGGCTCGATCTACGACGTCGCTCCTCGATCCGATCGATCGGTCGTCCGGCGGCCGCGGCCGCGGATCACGTCACTCCTCGAATCGCCGCATCGTTCTCCAATAATTAGCGCGATGAGTCACCTCGCGCCGGGTTACAAGTGGAGGCGGCTCCTCCTCGTGGATTCTCTCCTCGGCGCGTCGAAATCACCCGAAAGGTCGTCCCGTCGTCGCCGATTTCCTGGGAGAGGCCTGGACGCCCGAGAAACCGACGATGGTCACTCCCCGGTGACCGCGATGCTGTCACGCCGATGACTGGAAATACACGCCGCGTGCACACACCTAACGTTACTTAATATTCGCGATTCGCGTGGTAGGCGGCCGCGCACACCGCCCCCGTACACCTGTCGACGCGGAACACCAACGGAGAAAAGGAAAAGGAGATAAAGAAAAGGAGAAGAGTTACACCATGCGCTTGGATCAGAGCGGAGGAGGAGCCGGGTTTATCCATATATGTAAATTCGTCGCAGATCCGCGTGCACCCACCCACGTGCACTCCTCCCGAGCCGCATACAATTGATTCTCGCGTGTCTGACTTTATGACAGATTTCGATAATACGGATAAGCGAGAATGTGACAATAGTGTATATATATATATATATATATATATATATATATATGTTTATTACGTAACGTCAATACATATACGCAAAGAAGAAAATATGGTCTACCTCTTCAAGTGATAATTCTAAATTATTCGGGAATGCAAATAAATTAGATTTAACAGATATCATTCTTCTTCTCTCTCTTTGTAATTTTTTTTTTTTTATATACCAGGAATTTTGTATGTAAAGGATTGAAATTCTGAATGTTTATGTTTTTAAACCCGGGAAAGAAATGCCTCATTCTCGAGCAATTTATTAGAAAATAAATTATTATTTATTAGAAATTTATTTGAAAATATTTGAGAAGATTGTATCTTGCAAATAAATATATATTTATTTATATATAAAATATATATATTTTACGGAGCAAAGTTTATATTTTCCAATTATAAAAGTTTATGAATTACGTAAATGAAATTAAGAATTACTCGAGTTTCAATAAAAATTAAATTTAAAAAATTTTGAAATTGTAAGGATTCCAAAAAATTTTATTTTCAAAAGTTACAAACAAATTGCAACAAAATATAATGTATAATCAGTATAAAATTCAACTTTTATAAAATTATTAAATTTCCGTTTTAATTAAACAAAATTGAATCTATGTCTTTAATTAATGAATATTAGATCGTAAAATTAGTATGCTTCGGTGTTTAGAGTGGATGTTACTGTTGACAATTTAATAAAGTTCTGATTAAATAATATTAAAAGACGAAAGAAAAAGTAACTTAAAAAAGATTTTAATTTTCAATCAAGTAGAATTCCGCATAATACGGTTACAGTGATTTGGAAATTTAAAATTTCTGAAAACTGCAAAAGAGTTTTCAAAGTTTCGTCTCTAGATTATAATTAATCATCCATTATCGTATTAAGAGCGATTGATACGATGTTAGTTTTATATCCAATTTATTGTACATAACACTGAAATAAATGAAACGATACACATGACAGAGATATGTCATACACACGCAACGCACATTCACGCGTATATACACATTCGCACGCACTCACATGCATCCTCGCAAATCGTTACATATTTGTTACGCGATTGTTACGCGATTTATAGAGGATTACAAATAATAGCAGTGATTAAGTTACTCCGAAACTCTCTACGTTTAATCTTAAATGGAAGCATAAATCATTTATCACTTTTCCGTCTAAATGGCTAGACTTCGTTCGATGATATTTTCCGTCCCTTAAACGCCTAATGCATTCGTACTGTAAATAAATATGCATTGTTTTCGTTTTGTGCATTAGAAACAGGACTAATCGTTGAGTTGTTGAATTTTTGTCCTATCAAAATAGAGCTAGAAAATTGAATCGACATAAGTTGTTGAGTCACTTAATATCAGTTCCCATTGCATTCCATTTGCGTATGAATGTCCTTTGTATGAATATTCGAAGATCTGACATCCTTATATGAGAACTGACACTAGCACGGAAGTATTACACCTAAAAGATCTTACATACAATTAATGTATACATAATTTGATTAAGATTGAACTTAAGCTAATGCATCAGAAATGAGCACGAGACCATCGCACAACGCGGTGTATATATAAAAAAAATTTGTCTACTATATTTATTAAAACAATAATAAAGATACGGCTAGTTTCTCCTAAAGATTAAAAATTAAAATAAGCCGCATCAGCACCAACGTTTCCCCGAGAGCTCATCAAACCAATCAAAAGTATCAATCTGGAAAATTTCCTTATGTTCGTTCTTATTTAGACGTTTAGACGTTTAGCTCTCGGTCTCTCGCTTGCAAAAATGCCCTGATTTCATAAACAAGACTCGTCATAACATGAAATCCCGCGGAAGTGACAGCGCGTGCCGTTATACGAGGCAGTGATTATCGAGCAGCGTTTCCGCACGATCTTGGCATGCTTTAATTTAAAGCAATTCTTAGGTAACAGTTTTATATAGCAGTTTTGGTATCTATCAAAAATTTGACAGTTGATAATTCAGGACATAATCGGTATCTCTTTTATGGTTTACTTATAATAAAATTTCAGTATATCGTCGAGTAATATATATATCTTCGAACAGCGTCTTGACAACTTTAGTAGGCACATTCCCGCTTCAACGTTGAAAATACATGTCTTCAGATACATACCGGAAAACTGATCAGAAATTGTGTCTCTGAATACACAATTCTCTTATAATATAATACAGCTGCGAGTATATATAACGTGATTTCGTAAGGTATATTATACGCACTTATTTGTATAGACGTAGCCGAAATGCAAATTGCCTATAAGAAAAAATGTTCCCATGTACGGACGAAAGGTATTTGAGAGAAGGAGAGACGTTAGGCAATATCACATTTCGACTATGGTTATCTGTTATAAATAATTAAAAGATATTTGCCTGCTAGCATGGCCTACTGAACACTTGGGTAGTTTGGAGCTTTTGCGAGCGATTTACAGTCGCTCTTGCTTATGTCTATCTTTTCCTACTGCATTCTGTAAGTAAAATCAATATTACTTTTATATATATACATGTATATATATATATATATATATATATACAATGAATGATAGATTTAATGCGCGTAACGTAAGGAACAAGTATAGAATACTCATTCGGATGGAAAGTCGATGCTTCGCAGTAACATTGTTACCATGGTAAGCTGTTTCTCATCTTGTACTATTCTGACTTTTCATTGATCCAATGTACATAACGTAAAAATATCTTTCGCAAGACATATTTGGAATTTGTACCTCAGAGTTGCGTTCATCGTTTAATAATATAAACATACTACAGACAAAATACAATATATCAGTTAAAAAAACATGACCGTATCAAAATAAGCTTATCCATCGTTCAAATACAAACTGAACTACGTAGACATTCATCTCTTTTCAACAGATCTAACATCAATACCTTACAATAAGAACAACCTGGTGACCTGGAGCTAAAAATACAGGATATAGGTTCTCATTTGCAATTACAATACTTCATGGCTTCCGCTTTCGGATTATAGAATAACAATGGTCATTCTTATTCTAAGATATTGATACGCATGATTATTTAACAAAACGTTCTTTCATCCTGAAGAATGTAAACTACATCGTAATAAAAATTTGCAATGCATAGGAACTTTCATTGTGTAAATGCAATTCCATTGTAGCGTTATATACTCCATCCTTACAATCATTACTTAGGCGAACTATTTCTTACATTATTGCCATGGAAACGTTATTACTGCTGAAAATATTTTCTCCCCTAACAATGTACGGTATACATGGAACGCGAGCTTGAGCGGCGGAGCGGTTGTGGTAGCATTTCCCAAAACTTTTCTTGTAAGTAGCGAGAGAGTAAGTAACGATAATCAGTAATTATCGATAGATTCCTCATATAATAAGATATAAAATAAGTTTGTATTATTACAGACGTAATGTGTGTGTGTATGCCATGTGTATATAAATCTTCAGATGTAAAAATATTATCAAGAGAGATTATGTTTTTTTTTGCTTCTGTAATAGCTTCTTCATTCGATTCAAGCACTGCGCTTGACTGAATGTTTCCAATATTTTGGAAGCCTACCTTTAACTACATCACGGTACAAATTACAATCTTGACATATGAATATATAATAACACGATTGCTGCATATTAATAAAGATTCAGATATTTATAAAAATTGATTAATTCAATGGAAAATATATTTTTTTCAATAAGTTTGTTATATAATTAATTGAAGTAATCTGTAATATTATATAACTACTTGAGAAATAATATACTTTCTTGCAGATTATCGTTCATCTTATTCATATTTAAATTGCAACTACTCTATGTGCTACCAAATACCTGCTGCATCGCCGTTAAATGATAATCTATGCATTGATATTTTCATACTCAATACAGATATAAAAAAAAATTTACTAAATGTAACTGCTGGATATCCAATATAATAATGGATATTGCATCCATTCCCTAACTATTCCCTCTAAATTATAAAATCCCTCCCTGAGGATCATGAATATCCAGCAGTTGGACAGAAATGCTATCTACTAGTCCAATAGTAATGGTTAGCCTATCTCAATCATTTCAGCATCCTCCACATTGTTATGCCCAACCACATTGTGCCTAAAAAATCATCATTGATTTCATAATTTTAATTTTCGTTTTCAATTTCATAATTTTATGGTGCAAAATTGTATATATATATGAAAAAAGAAAATTGAAAATTTCGATTTATATACTTTTAGATTCTTACGTGTGACTTGGTAAGTGTGCATTGTGGAAATTAAGATGCGTCGTCCGAGGTGAGAAACCACACGCGGTTGCTTTGCGAGGACTTCTGGCTTTTACAACTCGTGGTGGCGACATGGTACTTATGTATCGCGATTGTTGATCAAACATGTCTTCCGATAAGCTTGGTGCTACATATGTAAATCCCTGAAAAAAGTTCATGTTATTAAAAAATATAACAAAATGTGCACACATTTAATAATATTTAATAAATGAACATATTTAAAATTGGAAAGGAAAAAATTCACCTGGAATAATCTATTAGCTGATTCGCTCAAAGTGTAATCTACTGGAGAATCTATTGGTGCTGAAGCAGTAAATTTTTTATCAAATTGCGATACGTCTTCTTTACTGGATAATTTTGGTCTAAAAGGAGGTTCTAATCGTCGAGATATAACGTCATCCCAATTGATATGTTTAAAGAATTTGTGTGCTTTTACTTGCTCACCATCTGACCGATCAGATCCTAATCTTTGAGCAACTTGTCTCTATACAGAAGAAAATTATATATTTCTAATAAATATTATATCTATATATTTTTATTAAAAAAACATTTTTTTTAAGATAAAAATAATTAACAAATTATATAGCAATTTATTTATGGACACTAACCTTTAGTAATTTTCGAACAAGATCTTTAGCATCAGCTGTTAAATATGATGGAAGAATTAATTTACCACGTAGAATCTTGTCAATGGTTCTTTTTCTACTATCTGAGGTAAATGGAGGCTAAAAAGTAATAAATAACAGTATATGTTTATATTTTACTTTGAGTTTTTTATATATATTTTATATATATTATATATATATATAGAGCGATGATAGAGATAATACATACAGCTCCTGTAAGCATGTCATACATTAAGCTCCCCAAACTCCACCAATCTACTGCTTTTCCATGTCCACTTCTTGTCAAAATCTCAGGTGCCCTTGAATAAAATAGCAATCAAAATATGTAACAATCAAAATATATGACAATCAAAATATATTGTCAAATTTGTCAAATGATATAATCAAAATTTCTAAATTATAAATTATTTTATGATTCTTACATATATTCGATAGTCCCGCAAAACGTATGTGTGACAGCACCCTCTTGTATATGCTCTTTACATAATCCGAAGTCAGTCAACTTAATATGTCCCTCTGCATCCAATAGAACATTCTCTGGTTTCAAATCTCTAAAATAATCCAATACACGCATTATTAATTCGATAATAAGTTACAACTGAACTCATAATGCTTTAGAGAAAACTTATCCAAAAAAATACAGTACCTATATATAATTCCTTGCAAGTGGAGATGTTGCAGAGCTAATATAATTTCGCATAAATAAAAGCTGCAAAACGAACGACATATAATATAAAATATTTACTGTTTATCGAGGAATCAAAGGCGTTATTATGATTTACTTACCGTGCGGTATCTTCCATGAAAATTCCTTCGTCGTTTAAATGTCGGAATAATTCACCACCGCACATATATTCCAATATTAAATATAATTTATGACCAGTTTGGAAAGCGTATTTGAGATCTACGATGAAAGGGTGCTGCCAGATGCAAACATAAATATATGTTGTATATATATTTATATATTGTATAAAATAAAATAAAATATAGTAAAATGTATTTGTACAAACTATTGACAATTATAAATATCTTTTTCATTCATGTTGCTTTAAAGTTTACATGTACGTCATTGTTTTTATTCAAATTCTAGATCTGCTTTTTAATGCTACATTAAAATTTTCTTTCTCACTTCCTTCAAATTTAGCACATTTATCTATTTTCTTTTAAGAACAACTGTACTCTAGTTCAGCTAAAAAATGAACTAGAATATTCTAGATTTCTTAACATAAGAATAGAATATTCTAGATTTCTTAACATAAGAATAGAATATATAGAATAAAAATAGAATATTGTTTAGATTTTTTTTACTAACCTTTACAGATTCCAAGATGTTTCTTTCAGCTTTAGTATGAGCTGTATCTTTCTGATTTCTTATAATTGAAGCCTTGCGCAATACCTATTTTGGATGATAAAAAACTATTTCAAATGACCAAAGAAATGGATTTTAGATAAAAATGCGTGCCAGCAGAATATAAAATTAATATAAAAATAGATTAGAAAATTCAGAACAGCTTGAGTTATTATTCTGAGAATAAAACTGCATAACGATAAGACCATTTTACAACTCTTGAAAAAATATAATCTATATAAAATTTCTCCAGTAAGATGACTCAAGATGATTCATAAAGTTTATTCAAGTTTTTATAACACACAAAAACAAATATTCGCTGACTAATGAGAAAAAGGTGAAGTGCTTAGCATGGCATATAATATTTGCACGATAATACGTAATAGGAAGCAGTGAGATAACAACTTTCTCGAATTTCGGATGTAATTATCCTCTCTGGAAAGCACTTTTTACGAACTGCTTATCTTGACAAACACAACATTCCATAGATAGGGCAACAAAACAATCACACAGCACAAACAAAACAAAACAAAACAAAAAAAATTTGCAAATATAGGGCGCAGGGCGGAATTTCGGTACCTTCATAGCGAAGATCGTGCCGCTGTCGTTTCCCGTTAGTTTGCGCACTTGAAACACCTTGCCGTAGCCGCCTTTCCCGATAACTTTGCACAACTCGAAGTCCGCGAGCCCGATCTTCTCGTGTCCGACATTCTGCTCCAAAATCGGCACCGCCTCCACATCCGACGAGCTACGATGGGTAAGAGGGAAAGAAAAGAAAAGTGAGATTTATTGATGAGGAAAAAACGTGCGAGAGCCCGCGCGGCCGCGTGTACGCGCGGCGCGCGAGTCAGACACGCGCGCAGGTCTACTCACTCCACGATCTCATTCACGTTCAGCAGCGCGACGCATTCCTCCTGCGAAAAGGAAAACAGATGCCCGTGTTAGAGTGGCGTCGTCGGGACCACGTGTCGTCCGCCGCGAGCGAACGTGACGTGGGGGAGAATCCCACATCGGTGGAATCCCGAGCCGCTGGGAGGGGAAAGAAGGAGAGGTTTTAATTACCGCGCCGATCTCGATGACGTCGTCGTCTTCCGACTCATCCCTGTGCAGCAGACCTGCGTCCTGGAGCTCGATATCGAAGATCGCCGACATCGTGGTTGATTTGCCTCCTCGCGTCCTGGCGTCGCGTCGTTATTCGCAGACGCGGTGGGTTGGGAGTGGACGAGCCAGGCGTGCCGGATCACCCTCGCGCGAACGCGTGGTGTCAACACGTCAGATCTGACACGCCGTACGCGGAAACAGCAGGCTGCCCAGCGGGGCCACGCGAAGCGGTACGACGATCGTTCCCGTTCGAGACTCGGTCGCGGATTGTCGGATTTGGGAAACGGAACGGACCGAACGCGCTGCTACCGTCAGCGCCGTAAACCACTCTCGAGGTGGGAGAGAGGGAGGGACCTCCAACTTTCTCGACCAATCACGTCGCGCGATGCCATTCCTACTACCGGTGAGCTCGCTGCGCGGCGAATTTGAATCGCGCCATTCGCCGGAGAACGATGCATAAGATGACACCAACAAGGTGTCCTTTATATTGTTCGTTTCTAGCGACATGGATTAACTTTAATCTCGGTTTAACTTTTTTCTCGTTTCGGTTCTAAGAACTGAATAAGAATAAAGAATAAATTAAACTGAGATTAAAGTTCATCTATATTGATAAAAGGACATATAACTATGTAATTTTGAAATATTCATTTTTAAGTTTTATTTTATTTTTTTTTATCATAATTTAATGTAGTATTTTATTGCTGTACCACTTTTTAGTATCCAAAAATTTTGATTTTATTATAAAAAGGAATTATTATGAATTAATTGTTCATATGTTTTCCGGTAAAAAATTTTTTATATAAAAGAGTATACAAATATATATAATTATATGTAAAATATGTCCATTTTTTTTTCTCTATAATAATCTCTATAATATAATAGATAATATAATGGTATAATAATCTCTACCTATAGAAAAAATTATAAAAAAAGAATAACAGAAAAATAATTAAAAATATAATTTTTGTATCTTTTTTCTTTACGAAAAATTAAATTGCAATTATATTATATATTATTCTATATATAATCATATATATATCTTTTCTATACGATTATTACATTTATATGTAATTATATATGCATATTTCTCATTTTAAATTTCACTTTTTATATAAAAAACAATAACAAAAAATAAAATAAAAAATAATCTTTCAATTTTTTTTTCTTGTTATTTTTCTTGTACATCTATATGCAAAGAGAAATTATACTACAAAAGAAACATATGGACATTTAATTATAAATATTTGTATGTTTTTATATGGAACATTTTTGGGTTAAGTAATTAAAAAGTCATTAATCAATAAACTAACATCCATCAATTATTTCCAGGTCTCTGTCCTTTATACGAAAGATCACGAAAGGGTCTACCTAGGGTTGAGGGTCTCTAACGATGTTTGATAATATTTTAGGACAAAAGAATTGTTTTTCTATGAAAAAAATGTTTTTTTAGGAACAAGAATAGGTAGTAAAATATAACAATGTTACCTATAGAACAATTCTATTATGGAATACAATTTTATTTGAATACCCATATTTTTTCAAAGATCAGCATGTATGTATCCTTTAGCCTATATCAAAACACGAAAGCCTAAATATTTACGTCCTCCGTGAACTTTCTCGATCGTAAATTTTTATAAATTTACTGCCGTTATTATTTATCGAACAACCTATAACAATCAATCGAACGTTGGAAAATTAACTTTGTCGATTTCCGTGACAGAGGAAGAATCGAGGAAGTATCACGAGACCGTTCTCTTTCCTCACGCGAAATCTCTCTTAGGTCTCGGAGCTTTATTCATTTCTCTCCCTTTGTTTCGGGAAGCCGTATGGAGTTCTCGGAAAGCAAATGCGTCATACGCTCGAATAAAGATCGCGACACGCGAAACAGGTATCTATAAGTCTCTACGGACGCGCGTTGTGCAATTTTGTGAAATCGCGACCGATTCGTGGGATGCATCGAATGCGCCAGCGGCGGATCTTTGTCCCAGGAAATTCTCGAAAGCGCAATTTCGCTGGGACACTGATACAGTTTCGATGATTATCAGCGAGATAACACACGATAATAGTAATGCCTCCAAAGCAGATAAAAGGGTAACGTGATAACGTAGGCGGTCACCTCCTACATGCAACAGAATTTCATACGTTCAACGTCCGTTTTTCCTGGTAGGCGCGATCGGCGGGCGCGATTCGCCAAAGATGGTTCAACGTCATCACGTATACGGATACGAGAGCTTCCTGAAGTATATCAGGGACCTGAAGACCACGGAGCCGATTTACGTGCTCTATACTGGCACGAAGTTAGCGGACACCGGCAAAAGTTGGTGTCCGGATTGCGTGGAAGGTGAGCGAATTTTCCATACGCACCGACATAACCTATACCTCGTGTTCCGTGTTACGCCTCCTCGCAGCTGCATTAGAAAACAGGAGATTAAATAAAAAAATATGATTATTTGGTATTTGAAAATATTAACGACCAAATTCGAGCAAATTAAGAAAAAAATTAATCACATGATATTTTAAGAATTGTTTTTTTTTTTTTTTTATTAATAATTTTTTTATAATAAATATTTGGAATTTTACTTAGTTTTCATTAGCATCAATATAACAAAGAATTGAGAAAAAATTCTTAGAACATAAAAAAGTAAATAAAAATACAACATAAAGTTCTAATAAAAGGAGATTAATATGCTCAGAGTTGCACATAGATTTATTAAGAGAATAGATAAAATCATATGCAAGAAATATAATTGTCAAGCTTAAAAAACAGTTTAAATAGTTGAGTATTAATTGATAAAATTGTCGAAATAAGAGACACAAGTTGAGAACACTCTCATAGTGTTGGGAAAATCCCCCCAAAAAACTTGTCTGGAAAGTCAAATCTGTTGGGAACGAATCTTGCAAAATATCAACAAAAATTGAATTTATTAATAGAATACGATGACAAATTGATTACAAAAACTGTGCTGTTTAAATATAATTAAATCTTGAATAGTCAAATCTGCCAAAATAGAAAAATGAATTACAGAATCTGTTGGCAGACTCGTTGTCGCAAAAACTGAGTTAAATTTTGTTATTTCGTAATCATTTAAATGATATGTCTCATTCGCGTTTTAGAATCTAACAGTAGCATCAGATTTCTAGATGTTAAAAACGACGTGAATAATAAGAAGCAACAATTAAAATGAGACTTTTGTTAGTATTGAAAATAACTCATTAGAAATTTCTTTTCCTTTATTTAGGAATTTAGATAAAGCTATAGAATCATTAAAAAATTTAAGAAAATATGTTTGAGATATGTCAAGCTAATCGATTTTAAATTAATATACATTAATATACATTAATATATTTTTGATTATACAATAAAAAAGTAAAAGTTTGATGTATTAATGGATATTTAAATTAATATATTTACTTAATATTATTTTGTTTTATTTCAGCCGAGCCATTTATCGAAAAAGGTTTTGAAGCAGCATCTGAGAAGACACAATTAATAATAGTAGAAGTTGGAGATAGGCCGTTGTAAGTGAATATTTCATAATTTATCTGTTATCTGTATGAGATCATAAACCAGTTATCGTTGTGTAATAATCGTTATCTATTGATAAAAAGTGCAGTATGATAAATTAAAAATCTGAAATACTTTTTCCTAGCTGGAAAGATCAGAAGTGTCCATTTAGGACAAATCCTGTTACCAAATTGAAGGTCCTGCCAACTCTAGCAAGATGGGGAACTCAGAAACGATTGGAGGGTGATCAATTGCTGAAGCTTGAACTTATCGATATGTTACTAACAGATGAAGACGACTGAAGTTTTGTGATATATGTATAGTATCTTTTTTGTACTTTTTATAAAAAGTACATATCTTGAATTATAAATGTATTTTAAACTACATTGTTGTATATCATCTATTGCTTTATTCTTTTGTATCTATTCCGTTACCGTGCTTTGAAAAGAGACATTGAAATTACAAGAATAAAGAGCATTTAAATTAAAATAGTAGGAAATACTTACTTTTTTATTCATTTGCGTACAAATAATATATTTGCTATTGTAATAAAAACCCACGTAATTTTTATGATAAGGAAATACATGCCAGATAAATGCTGCGATCAAATCTATAAAGTCATATCTACAAAGGATTTATCTTACATCGAAATTTATTACCTAAGCCCTAATGTGATATATCTCTGAAATTTTAAACTATAACTAAAAATATCAAAAACTAATAAAGATGTAAATTTCCTAAAGAACCCATTTTATTCTATAATTGATGTTTTCTCTCCCGCTGGTGGTAACATACGTACGGAATAATGAACTTTCTTATTCCTTAGAAAACTGTAAGTATTATCGAAAACAATAGAATCTGGAAAAAAAAAGATATTTAAGTGATGTCACTATTATGTGATGTGCTGTTTGAGTTTCTGAGCTTACAAGTTGCCACAGTTTCACAAGTCAATAGTCCAATTTCGTCCGACTGATGGGACGCAACTCTATGGATAGGTATAACTTCCGTTTTCGTATCATTGGTTACATCCTTTTTTAAAATTCCAAATTTGATGTCATGACCCTCGCTTCGGAATTCCCAACTAAACGAGAATATCAGAGTTGAGAAGAACATCCCTTTCATACATATGTACGCACTTCTCTCTCTCTCTC